AAAGCCTAACTGATGTTTTAGTTTCATTATTTGCACTAAGATGACATGCATTGAGACTTCCTGTAACAGGAAGCATTCAATTTGGTCTGCCACATACATCCTTAGTCTGCAAACTCTTCCACTGCTCAGTGCCATAGCAGAGCACACACATCCTTAGGGGGATGTCTCATATTGAAGACGCTACAGTTTCCTAGTGAAAGGTATAAAAATAGAAAGAACTCAAGATTGAGTTTGAAACCAAAATCTAAATCCCTATGCACATATGACTAGAATTCGGGAAGCTTTTGCCTACTATGACTCCCTCAGAGTGTCAGCTCAGAATCATTCAACATTAGAAAGTTAAAATTTTAAAATGCCTCACCAAATAGACTGGGTGTATGGGCCATTTGACATCTCCTAAAAGCAGGAAGAGGTCTCATCACGTCTCCATTAGCAGTAGAAGAAATGAATTGCATCTTCCTCCAGCAATGATCACGGCTTGGGTGACAAAAAGGGTAATGCAGAGATGCTGATGTACAGAGGAGTAACACTTTCCAGCATCCAGGGGTGCCCAGGAGGCATGCCTCCATTTCATAAGATTGGAAGAAAAAGTATTTGCCATAATAAGGAGACTCTAAAAATGTTGGAATATTTTTACAAAAATCTTAGCAAACTGGCAAGCCTATTATTATTCTCTCTCATCCATTCTCTTTCTTTTTCAATCTCTTTTTCCCTCTTTTCACTCTCCTCCCTCCACACATACATTCACTTATGCATATACTAAATCTATGGACTAAATATACCAGGATGCCAAGAAATGCAAATCTCACCCTTCAGTTTAAAATATTTAAGGGATACCTGACATCACTAATTCTACAAAAGTCTCCTGTAAACAGCAAAGACATCCTCCACTTTCCCTCTTCGAATCTGTGTACAAAACCACAAAATCCACGTAGCTGATTTCCTGACCAACATCAGAAGACTGGTAAATAATGATATGCTATTCTAGGCAAGACAGTCTCTGTGATACTAAAGGCTGAGTTCCAATTCCCTAGACTCGTGCTCCATTCCCTTTACCTTACCTACTTAACTGCATTTGCCATCACATTCCCTTTGGTTTCTAAAGCCAACAATGTTCAGATGTGGCTAGGTTTGCACACTGATGCAAAAGTTACCCTTTTGCAGGCAGCACCAAACCTTAAGAGCTCAACAGTAAGTCTACATATAAATGATAGCAGGGTTGCCAAGGAAGAAGCAGAAGGGGAGCGCAAAGAAGTCTACAAAGTAATGTGGTTAGAAACTCTTTTATATTGCTTGCAAGGAAATCACTGGGTGATCTTAGCTCCCCAACCAGACTAAACTCTCTGTGGGCAGATGCTGCATCTCATATTTATTTGGGATCCCCATGGTACCTGCCACACAGCTGAGCACATTGGATTCTCTAATAATGCTTACTGATATCTAATGCCATGGTGATAAGCTATGATGGAGTGCTGCAAGGGAAGAAGTTCCAACTCCTTTATAATGCCACTGTAAGCCTTGTAACTGACTCTGCAGCTAAAGAAGGGAGTGGGTTTGTCACAAGGTAGCCCAGCCGAGAAACCTAATGCGCAGTGCTTTGGTCCCAACCTGGAGAGTAATAATGTAACATATGCTCAGAAAAGAATTGCTATCCTGAGTTGAACTGACCTGTTTACTTGTCTGTCTCCTTGTAAACTCCCTAAGGTCAAGGATCAAGTGTTTTATTTTTGGATCCTGGGCAAGTAGTACAGTGTCTAGCACATTCTAAGGGTGAGACAAATGCTATTGGGGTTAATTAATGAACAAATAAAAGAATGGTTTGATGAAATAATGTAAAGAAAAATGTGACATAAGATTTAATACAGAAGTCTCCATAGAATCTCATATTTATCACATCATAGCACTTACCACTCTGTTATAACTTCTTAATAAATGGTGGTTTCTTGGATGGGTTAATTAATTAATAGGAAAATATAAAGAGAAGGTAGGAAATATATCAGGATATTACTATCCTAGGAATGGAGAATATCCTATTGAACGCAGTAGTAGCATAAATCACTCCATACTACAAATCACCTGTTTGCTTGTCTCCCCTGTTAGAATGTACATTCCTTGAGACGACGGAACATCTTTTTTATTTCTATAACACCAGAGCCTAGAGCAGAAAAAAAGTAGACCCTCAATAAATATTAGCTGAATGTATAAATCAACCATTCTTGCTCTTCTGTAGATTTCACTGTACCTAAGTATTCTACCTAGTCCTTGTTCAGGGGCTTCTGATATGGAAAGGAGAAGTGTCCTTTTCCCCATGCATAACTTTGTGATAGATGCAGGTTAAAATGGCCTGATTTGTGCTCAGTTGTGGGAGGGTCTCTCCTCTTTCTGAATGGGTTTGTCAGTTGAACTCTATAGGACTGCATATTCGAAATACAGACTTAGCCTCACTGTGTCTAGTACACACTGCCTTGACCCTTGACTAGCCCTAGACACTACATCTCTGTGATTTTGCTAAATAAGAAGAGCATGTGGGGGTGCCTGGGTGGCTCAGATGGTTAAGCGTCTGCCTTCGGCTCAGGTCATGGTCCCAGGGTCCTGGGATGGAGCCCCACATCGGGCTCCTGACTCAGCGGGGAGCCTGCTTCTCCCTCTCCCTCTGCCTCTCCCCCCGCTCATGCTCTCTCTCTCTATCTCTGTGTCTCAAATGAATAAATAAAATCTTAAAAAAAAAAAAAAGAGCATGTGGCTTTGTGAGTTGGGGAGAGGATCAGAATTCAGACTTCCAATGGCTTTTCTAAATAAATGAAGCAATATTTTATTTCATTCTTCCTATAGGAGAATCAAAAAGAACACCAAGATCTTCAGTAAACCATGTAGACACACACAGTCATAGGTCTCCTGCCCCCTCTAAGTATCTCATAAGCACCAGAGCCCACATTTCTCTAGTGTCTTGAATTGATTACAGAAATAATCACCAAGCCCTCAGATGATTAATCTCCACAAGCAATAGCAGTCAGCACCTGAACCCACAACCGTGCCATCTTTCACCTCCATTGTTTATCATCCAATATGAATACTCCAACCACAACACTTTGTAGGTGTTATCTATACAAAACCAACTTTAATACCTCCTTAGTTACAGTGTCTATGGGGTCACACTCAGGTGTGCAGGCCATCATAAATGACTCTCCAATTATTGTCTAGTGAAGAGATCTACAATTCAGGGAACATGTATGTGTCATACCCTTTACATTACACAATGTCATATTATTCCTTGGACCAACCTTGCATGGTAGACGTGCCCATTTTGTAGATGAGGAAACAGAGACTCAGAGGGCTTCCATACCAAGAGGTGTCCCCAGATTCAAAATCATGGTCTACCTGATTGCACCACAGAGCACTATCTCTTCCTCTCCGTTGCTGAACTCTTAGTAGTCCACAAGTAGTCCTCTAAAAAGTCTATGATCTAGTTCCTAGTAGTATATACTGATATCCATAATTATAACTGTGCCTCTGTAGCATGATATTGGATTTTCAATAAATCCTTATTTATAGATTTATAGATTGAAAATATTGGTGCTTTTGTTGCCGGCAGAAGATCATTGGTTTCTCATTAAAAGCACTGCTTCTAGGTCCAATTACTTCTGATGAGAATGATTTTTCAGGAAACTAGGAAAAGCAATTGATCCAAGTAGTCCTAAAACCCTTTGCCCTATGAAATTGATACAAATACTATGAGACCATTTTATATGCATCATAGCCTAGGTGTGTCAGGCTGAATTATTTCCGAGGCAGGAAGGTGTCACTGAAACAGCACTTGCCAGAGAGTTATAGAGCCCTGTGATCTAGTCTCTCCTCTCTCTCTCTCTCTCTCTCTACCTCTCCACCTCCCTCTTCCTCTCCCTTCCTATCCCCCTCCTCTCTCTGTGTGTCTCTCTACGCCTTGTTCTGTGAGTCTGAACAACTCCCTTACCATCTCTGGACTCTGTTTCATCTACTGAAGGGCAATCTATCAAGATAACTATTGCAAGGATCAAAGGACACAATGGTTGTGCAGGTGCTTCAAAAAAATGTGGAAGCGCCTTTCAAATATACTGTATTCCTTTCATTAGTGGCCTGGAAGAGGGCATATGTCTCCGAGTGCATCAAATTCCCAACCAAAGAGGGACTTAGGCAATTCATGGAAAAATGAAACCAACCTAAGAACTGTTACTTACAGCCTTCCACCCACCCACCCACCATCATCCATGTTATTATTTGTATTTCAAGAGCCAGCAAACATCAGACCACGTAGTGTTAAAAAAAATGCTTCCATTTGAAAACATTCATACCTGGTAAAGAGAAACAGAGCTACCTCAAATCATAGTTAATTTCTGAAATGTTCATTCTTAGTGACAGTTTCCAACCTCCTTGTTTGTCAAACGTCACCATGAGAACAACCAAGACAAGGCAAAGTGGCTTTTTAAAATTTTTTTGTTTGCCTCCCTTTAACCAGCCCATCCATACTCTTGGCAAAGCACACATATGGCCAAAGAAAAAGCAAAAGGGGGCTTCAGGAAGCTGAATCACTCGCACTGAGAAATTGGCCCCTGAACGTTCTAGAGTTCCCCCATCTTTAACACTACTTGTTGACTCTTTCTCAGCCACTTTAACTGGAATGCTGGTACCACTGGCTGGCAAAGCACATACCCCATTTGCAACAGGTGCAGCAAATTCGTATCATGCCAGAACACCGTACAGAGATTTCAAATGCACAGACCCCTTGAGCTCCTATGCCCAACACCCACCCCTACAGAAGCCCAATATGTTGGGCTACCCTTTGCCCCAAGAGACCCTGGTAGCAGACCCTGACTAGGCAGAGAAGTTCTCCCCACCCCTGCCAGGGAATTCTCCAGCACAGAGACCTAAGCGGTCTGGTGCGGGGTGGGGGGTGGGGGGGTGGCGGGGAGCAGCATGGGAAAGAGATCTGGAAGGACCTCACAGAGCCCCTCAGCTGCACTCACCTCAGGCAGAGGCACACCATTGATGATCAAGTCTGGCTGCTGGGGACCCTGGCTGTTGAAAGAGTGATGATAGATGTGGTTGGCGCTGGTATTGCGGGTATTCTGGTTCTCCACATTCAGGAAAGTGCTCTCAGAGCGGCGGCAGCCCAGGGGCAGTGTCTGCTGGTGGTAGTCGAAATAGTTGAGGGAGGAGGTCAGGGAGGAGCAACTGACAACGTTCATCTTGTCTGTCTCCTCTACATCCCGGGGTACTAGACGGATGTCATTCTTACTGATTTTTTTCTTCTTGCTTGATTTCTTTTGATGCCCATAGGAGTACTCAGCGATTCTATGTGACAAAAAAAGGGGGGGGGCAACATGTATTGCTAATGCCCTCCCAAACCATGCATTGATTAATAAATATTAAGCACCCCAGAGGGTTGCACCCCATCTCTGCTCCAGCTTCTTATTCTGGTGCATTACATCATCGGGTTTCTCCCTGCATTTTTTACATGTGAACACAAGCTAAGGGCCATTCATTTTTCATATTAAACATACAAACCTCCCATTCCTCCATCCCCCCCCCCAAAAAAATATTTCTATGCTTTGGATGTGGAATTTCTCATATGAGTGGCTATTTAGCAAGGGTGGGGAGGACAGGGAAAGTTGAGCCTATGGGAGAGAAAGCATGAAAATGCTCAAATCTGGAGCTCCCCCTGGAACCCAGAGGAACCCCTGGGTGAAATAAGAAGCAAGTATTAATTTAACAGAAGAGGAGATAGAAGGAATTAAAAAATAACCTCATTTCCAGTTCCTCCAGGCATTTGCCATGGGGCGAACACTCTCTCAGTCAGGTTCCTCTTTGACCTGATCAGTTCTGCACTGGGGTAGGAGATCAAACCCCATCCTTTGACATACCTCAGCTTCTCTCCTCCACACCCTCCTTCCCCCCCCTGCCTTAGCCCTGCTCCCTTCTACTCCCCACCCTACCCCACCCTCTCCTAGAGAAATAGGATAGCTAAACCCATTTGAATGAGGGGAAGTGCTTTTTACCTCTTTCCCCTTAGGCTCACTTTCTCCTCTGCCTTTTTGTCTTGCTCCTTGCTAATGGGAGAAACCGAGATGCAATGCAGACACTTGCTGTTTTGTCCTTTTATAAAACAGCCGAGGAGACAAGTGATGGCTAAACAATTACTGCAAAGGAATTTAAAGGTTAGTGCATTCAGCATCCTTCTCCATTCAGGTGTACCTACAAGCAGCTGTGCTGCAACTGGAACATAAAGAGCTCAATTTAATTAACACTGACACAGACCCAGCAACGTGCACCAAGGACACCAAGCATTAAGAGACTTGTCAAAAGAAATACATTAAAATGTAGCCAGATTTTCAGTCATTTATTACTTTGCACATAATGATTCACCTTACTGTTTGAAAATTCTATTTCTGGGCAATAATCAGCAAAACAATAGGGTTAATAAATAATACAGGTTGATCTTTACAAGGGAAAGACTGTGACTGTATTCTCGCTCAACAAAGCTAATTGAATACAAAAAGGGAGCCCAATTCAGCAGCAATTGCAGATCACCTCACGCAAGTCTCATAAATGAATGCATTTGAGGAAGAGGCTCAGGAGGGGCTGAGAAAAGGAAACCTCTTGTCTAATACATGGAAAGACAGGCTCTTGAACTTTAGGTTTCTAAAACATCTGAGCATACAGGGAGATTGCATGCTTCCAGAGGCAAATTCTTACTCTGTCCCGGGGATGTTCCTAGTGCTGAGCAGTTACATTCCTCTCGCCCTTTCGCTCTGTGTTCAGGCAGACTTGCAGTGATGGCAAGCTGATGCTACTGGAGTTTGAGAGCAGAAAAAATCCCAAAGACCCCAGGACTAGGGTTTATTTTCTTCTCTAATCTGTTTACAGAATCCATGGGAAGTTTTAATGATTTTGTTTACCCATGATGGGTAAGTTTGGCAATGTCCCGTCCAATTACTTGGCTGAGGCATTCACTGAGCAGCCCTTTCTGTATTGACCAATTATTTAATTAAACTGTACTTCATTAATCCCAAACCACCATAGGGAACAGAGCTCTTTACAAAATACACATGTGAGTGAAGTTGGAGAGCACTGAGATTTTCTTTTTTCTTTCTTTCTTTCTTTTTTTTTTTTTTAATTTCAAATGCTCTCTTCCCTGTTTAATGATCTCCCTGGCAAGCTCTCAGAAAGAGCTCTCACTTCTAGTCATACATCACCAAGAAGTGGCAAAGCCTTCACTATCTTTATTTCAAGATGATTTCTTTTTCATCAAGAAAAGGGTCTTATATATTTACTTTACACTAAGGAAATGGCTTAAAAAGAGTCCACTCTATCATTATCTCCATATAAATAAAATTTTACAGACCCCGCATTTTTTCTCCTATAAAAATTGCCACTGGCAGTCATACAGGTTTCAAAGGTAAGAGCGGTATTAATTTCCATTTCTCCCATCTGAAATGACTCAGAGCTGAAGGAACGAAAAGTCATGGCCATTTCACTAGTAACAGGATTAAAGCATTTATGAGGCATTGCAGCTGCTCTTTTATGGCACCTGATTGATATTCATGTGTGGTAAGCATTTGTCTACTAACTTGTGTAACGCAGAGAATAGTAAAAGGGAAACAATAATTGCATGGCTGTTACATATTCAGGGGGCTCTGATTCACAGAAGTGTGCATTTCAGATGGTGTCAAATACAAATTGGACCTACAGGAACATATTTTGACTGATTAACATGCAAGCACAGATGGCACAAAAGATACACTGGATGTGTAGGTGTGTTGAAAGCACACACACACCTTGGTTGGAAACAGCAGCATCATTCAATTTCAGCAAACTAAAGAAACAACTTCTTTTTTTCAACCCTTTCGATGAGACACTGCTGGAAAAAATTACATGTATTATCCTAAATTGGACTCCAGAAATACTTAGACTTATTTGTTCTGTCCAATTGTAAGGAAGGGCTTCAACAACACCCTCTAATGTGTTTATCAGGAAATCTTTTTTTTTTTTAAATACTACTTGTCATTCCAGTTTCTGCATTTCTATTCTCATCCCG